CTAAGTTCATTTGTCTTTTTGGTTTTACCTCCAACTTACTCCTTCTGAAGTCTTCACCATCTTTGTTACTGCAATTCTATTCTTCCAGCTGCTCAGGCCAAAAACCTCAGAGTCAGCCTTGTCTCTTTCCTTCACACTCCACAGCTAGTCTGTGAGGAATCCTTGTGGGGTCATCACTGCCAACCCCATCTCCATGGTCCAATTGCTCCACTCTTACTCCTGGATTATTTCAGTAGCCTTGGGATAGGTTTCTGCTTCAGCCTTTACCCCTTACTGTCTACTTTCAACCCAGCAGTGATCCTATTACAGTGTGTCAGAGGATGTCACTTTTCTACACAAAACCCTCCAATGGCTTCCAACTCACTCAGAGTAAAAGCCTCATTTGATCCTTCCTACTCTTACCTCTCCGACTTCTCCTTTCTGCCACCTTGGCCTCTTGGTTGCTCCCAGCACACACAGGCACATTCCTGCCTCGGAGCTTTTGTACGTGCTGTGCTTTCTGCCTCAGAAGTTGCCTGCCCGGATATCTTGTTCCCCAAACTCCTTCAGGCCTTTGCTCAAATATTATGTCCAGAGGCTTTCTTTGATCATCTCTTACTCTTTTCTCCCCCAGTCTAATTTTTCTCCATTGCGTTTCTAATTATATGACAGACCACATATTTTCTTTATCATCTGTCTCTGCCGCCTGGAAGGCTAGGATTTTTATGTTTTTGTTCTCTGCTGTGTCCCCGAGCCTTAGAGGGATGCCTAGCACGCAAAAAACACTCAATAAATATTGGTTGAGTAAATGATCCTCCCACTTCCTAATTGTTAGAACAGGCCAAGGGGACTCGCTGGGCAAAACCTCCCCACTCCTACCCCAGCTTTTTTTTAGGAGCCGCTTGTCTGCACTTGTTATCGGTGGAAGGCTGATAAATCCCAAGAAGTATTCGCAGCAAATGCATTCCTGCTGCCTTCATCAAGTACAGCAGTGGTGGGAGACTTACAGAAGGAAGTGTGAGGTTTGCATCCTCTGATTACCATGGGTGCAAGAGAGAACCTGAAACTAGATATACTTGATTTTGGTTGTCTCCGGGTGGCATTCATCGAGAATGCAAGGAGGAAGATACTTCCTCCAAAGGAGAATCTGATGCCGTGCCAGCAGGGTGCCACCACAGTGGGAGAAGCTCCACATCCGCCTTTGCAAGACATGGTGTGGCCCAACCTGCTCAGATTGAGGCTCAGCTCAAGTTTCAGCCACATCAACTGTAGGGTTCTGAATATGTCAAGAGGGCCTCTAACCAAGAATTTGATTCCTCCTCCGGGATTTAAAGTCCAGAAAGCAGACCTCTGTCTTTGCCACCCAAGAACGGAAGGTGTGTGGGAGGCGGAGGAATGGACTGGGGAGGTGGCGATGCCAGCCTGGCAATGGGCACCGTCTCTGGTGAAGGGCAGCTAGCTGGCCAACCAGCGGACGGGCCGTCCAGGGTCCGAGATCTGGGCTCTGGGAAGGATGGTGAGACAGGGCAGTGCCAAAGGCCCTCACCACTCTCGGGGTGGTGCGGAAATTGATCCCGACGTGCTCTCCCATCTTCCGCGGAGTCCTGAGTTGGGGAAGCTTCCCTTTCGCCCTAGAATTGTCCGAATTAAAGAGCCCTCATTTTCAGGAGGAAAATCGCTAGTGAACTGCACACATATCCTGACGGACAACTCCGATAACGCTGACTCCCCTTGAAAAACAAACCAGCCGCCCCGCCCCGCTCTCCTCCGGGTCCCAGAACCTGGGCACGTTATTAACATCTACGAGGCCTCGTCTCCCCCTGCCCACTTCGGGGAGTTTGCCAGAAGTGCAAGGCGAACGTTTCCATCCCTCAATTCGCCTCTCAGCAGGCTGTAATAACATTTTAGGAAAAAAAGAAACTGTAGTGGGGAAAGGGCGCCGATGGCTGCCGTTAAACCTCTGGGAAGTGAGAAATCTAAAACGTCTCAGTAGGAGTAGATCTAAATTTCAAAGTAGAGTCGTCTGACTTTCTCCACTCAGCAGAACCCAAGAAACGAGCCTTTTAGACGTACTGTAAGGCTGATTTATTTTCTGCGTGTGTGGTGAGAGGAGTAGGGTGAAGGGGCGCAGTGCCGGCGAAAGGCGAACCCCCAAGGGCGAGGTGTCCTCCATTCCGCAGGGTTTAAGTTTCGGTGGAAACTTTCTCTCAGAGACTCCTCCTCCTTCACCTTGGAAACGGGCGCCGGGGCGGCCTTGCAGCGGAGCCCGCCGCCCCGCCCCCTCGCACCGCGCACCTGGCAGCCGCGCGCCCCGGGGGCAGGGGCGGGGCTGAGGGCGAGGCAGAGGGCGGGGGCAGAGGCG